GAGACAGAGAGAGAGGTAGACTGATAGAGCGAGAGAGAGAGAATGACCGAGATAGACTGAGAGAGAGAGAGAGTGAGAGAGCTAGACTGACAGAGCGAGAGAGAGACTAACAGAGACAGTTGGAGAGAAAGAGAGAGATAGATTGTTAGAGTGACTGAGGGAGAGAGACTGCCAGAGTGAGAGAGAGAGAAAGAGAGGCTGACAGAGTGAGAGAGACAGAGCAAGAGACAGATAGAGAGAGAGATGGAGAGAGACAGACAGATAGACAGACAGACAGGGATAGACAGTGAGAGAGAGAGAAAGTGAGAAGTGAGAGAAAGAGAGAGATTGTGAGACAGAGAGTGAGTGAGTGAGAGTGACTGAGGGAGAGAGAGATAGACAAAGATAGCCAGAAAGCAAAGACAGAGAGAGGGATAGAGAGTGCAAGAGAAACAGAGAAAGACAAATAGAGAGAACAAAAAGAGACAGAGAGAGTTAGACAGAGAGATAGACAAAGATAGACAAAGAGTCAGAGAGTGACAGAAACAGAGACGGAGAGACTGAGAGGGAGAGGGAGACAGAGTGAGACAGAGACAGAGAGACTAGGAGGGAGAGAGAGACAGAGAGAGAGAGACAGAGACAGAGAGACTTGGAGGGAGAGGGAGACAGAGAGAGAGAGACAGAGACAGAGAGACTAGGAGGGAGAGGGAGACCGAGAGAGGGAGAGAGATAGAGACATAGACAGAGAGACTAGGAGGGAGAGAGAGACACAAAGAGAGAGAGACAGAGACGGAGAGACTAGGAGGGAGAGGGAGACAGAGAGAGAGACAGAGACAGAGAGACTAGGAGGGAGAGAGAGAGACAGAGAGACTAGGAGGGAGAGGGAGACAGAAAGACAGAGTGAGACAGAGAGAGAGAGAGAGACAGAGAGAGAGAGAGAGTGAGTGAGAGAGAGATGAGAAAAAGAGTGGGTGTTGGCTGCTTGGCCCAGAGAGGGATTTTGAGCGGAGTGGGTGGGAGTACACAAGTATGGAGCCTTTTGCAGGGGTCCTGTTAATACAAGCAAGACAACGCCCCTGGGAGAGCGCTTAGAGGGAGAAAGGTGACATGAAGGTGGGG